TCACTTACCACACGATGATCTAAAATATATAATGTTTTGTGTATCATGTGTGATCGAGGGGTGATCGGAAAGGTTGGACTAATCAACGAGCTCGATTGGCCTCACTGTTCACATTGATATTGCTTTCTTTCTATGGTTTGAAAATCGCGCTACCGTTTTGTGTTCATCTGACAATCAGGGTAGCAACCAGTTGCCGATATAGCCGCTAGGCGACGTGGCGCTCACCGGCGCTGCCGTCGCGACCAGGACTCGCGGCCTCTCTCAATAAACATATAACCGGTTATTGTATCGAGCAAGCGTTTATAGACAAAAAATATTACAGTCCGCTAAAAGAAAAGGAAGTTCGCAATTCTTCACCCAAACACAAACAATAAAATTGATCCTTCGAGCCGGATCCGGGATCAAAAAGCCAGAGCAAGCATTATCGAGTTCAGTTCGATATTGACGATCAAAGACAAACGTGCAATAAACGACAATCAAGATCTCGTCAGAAGTTATCGCTGGATTACGCAAGGCACGAAGCTACGTAAAGGCGAAGCTCTCCCGATTGAGGACGCAAACATTGCAGATTATCCAAGAGGAGGGTGAAATTAATCGAGAGCATGCAGAAGCTAGGTTAGACAAATTAGAGGAAATTTATCGAGGTTTCGAAGCTATTCAATGGCAGTTGTTAGACCAGGTAAGCGAGTTGAGCGAGGACGATGCGCGAGATGAGGAAGCTTTCGAGAAAAAATACTACCAGGTAAAAATTTTGCTTAAGAAAAGCGCAAAGATGCCACCGCAAGGCGTCGAGACAGATAGTTCGGGCACAATCGTGCAATTGCTGCAACATCAAGCCGAGTTGATACAATAGGGGCTCTATTCTTGAACTTGTTCGCAATGTTACGAATGCGCACTATTCGAATGGTGAAAATGCGTATACGTTACTAATGTGATATTCTTGAACATTAATAAATAGTACTCGTAATAGAAAACGTATACGCTTTCCGTTACGTTGATTTACGTTTGGCAACGTCGCAAAACATATGTATTTTCTACAAACATCGGTCAAAAATACGACGT